TATTGTAGTACAGCAACGTCTCATGTCCTTTCCCCCCATCTGTCTTCTTGTTATTGCTGTTGATGGGACTCAGCCAGCCAAAATCCTGCAATTACGATGAGGTATTATTAAATCGTCAGTGATTTATTCCCGAGAATTACATTGGTTACAAGGCGCTATCGACATCTGTAACAATAATGACCATTAATCTCTCACAGGACCTTGATGATGGTGACGATTACATAAACACTGTGGAACTCAACATCTATGGAAACATCTGAAAATAAAGACCTCCAAGGAGAGTTTGTGATCAAAGCAGACAACAAACCTAATCACGCTTATAATAATCATTATGTATTAACCACATCTGATGATTGTAGTTTAATTATGTATGACTGCTGTGTTAATCTCTCCTGTTAGGCAAAATATATTTAATTGTGTCAAGTAAAATGCATTTTGAACATATGTTTATTGCATTTATTACAATGTCTGCCATTATAATGTTACATGGCAATAATCAAGCAACTTTGTTAAACCAGTGTATTTCTTTGTTTGTTTAGGCATGGTGTCATTATTGTTGGGCCTAAACAGTGTTTGGAAAGTTACTGAAAAATTGTAATTTATTAATTACTAGTTACTTTTCTCAAAAGTAATTGAATGACTTTTCCAGTTACTGCATGTACAAGTAATTAGTTACGAGGGAAGTAGCTTTTATTGTTACTTGTAAATGTCTGTTTCAATGATCTTATTAACACACACAGCTGTCAGCTATATCATTATTTTAATGTTGCAGTGAGACAAGACAAATCTGTCCAGTTAGTCCTCTGTCTTTCCCAGCAGTCTGATACTGAACCTTATATAGGATGTGAAACTCTCTTGAGTGTGAATAACCTACATGTAACCTTTGTACCATACAGCTGTTTTTTTCTGTTATTGTTGTAGTTATTGTCCCCCAGTATTATAAATTCACGTATTAAGGAACAATAAACTGCTACAAGCAGCCATCAGTGTCATGGATAAGGACTTTTTTTTCCTTTTTTGTCTTATCTAGGTTGCTTTTAGGGGTTTTTGTTTTGTTTCTGTTTGTCTTTTAAACTTTTTATTTAATATTTCTCTTTACTGTTTGTGGCCAATGCTGTTCTTCAAATGTGTATAATAAAATAATAAATAAAGTCTTCAAAAAAAAAACATTGTGCCTATGAACTCATATATAGTACTGGTGTACTTTATATTTTATTTTTTATATTATAAATAAATAATAAATAATATTTTATATATATTTATTATATTTATAAGTAAAATTTACTAAACACAGATTTGGGATACACAGTATTGTTGACAAAAAGAGCAACAATTTGGTTTTATAATGGATGGAATTTACTGTAAATAAGACCCGTATCTAGATACAGGCAAATTCTATTTTGGTTTTATAAGCTTCATTATTTTAGATTTTAGATTCGTAGATTTCAAGTGTTTTGAGTATCAAATGATTTTTTGTCTGTTAACTAACTTCAGTGCAAACAGGATCCTTTTTGTGGTTGGTACATTATACCCTCCGCCCACATTTTAGGGGGTGGGGGGTTAGGGACTTTTGTTACAGGTGGCAAATCTCTCCATTTACTTTCATCTCTGGAGGTAAGTCATTCTGATCTTTGAGAAAGATCTTTTTCCATGTTGTGCGATCTGTCTACCATGTTAATGCAGGTCTGTTTCAGCAGTTATAGTTAGTTTATATGCTGAAATGCTGAATTTGAAATGAATTTAGCAAAAAAGTTTAAATTACCTATGTGTTGTAACATTATGGCTTATTCAAAATGTAGTTGCTGACAAAAACCACTGACTTCATTTTTTAAATTTAGAAACCTTAAACAGTTTCAACATTATTTATTACTGTTAGCTTGTCTCTAGAGAATTCTAGTACTGAGAATATTTTTCTTGAAGGAAAAGTCTACCTAGTTCTGCTACTCACAGTTTAAGTTAAGCACATTTTCTACTTTATAAAAAAATGCGATCATCTTAGTCCATTGACAAAATAGTTTTATTGTTTTAAAAAAAACATAATGTGGTTTGTTTTTAACAGCTTTAAGGTTGTGTTTGGAATCTATGATTATGATTTATTTTTCTCAAAAAACATGTATCTAACATGTTTAAATGTATGTAACGTATCTCATTATGTAATCACTCTGCACATTATCTATTCTTTGCTTTGCAACTCATTGTTATTGCTGCCTATTTTTGCAAGTGTTTTAAAATTAGGTTTGTTTAATTAGATTAGAATTAAATTAAATACATAAAAGATTGAATGTATTTTTTTGTGTGTTATCGCTATATATAAATTACATGATATTTGTATGTACAGACAGGGTGTAACATCCCTTTTTGCATGGAACAGCGATTTATGTTTCGTTTTCATTTCTCTAAACTTGTTGAATAGTCTACAGTGGAAGTGGGTGAGGCCTTAACTTTAACCCTACTGACTGGGGTACCGACAGACCCCAGACGTTTACGTTGTGCCTTGTGCCTTTAATCTGTCATTCCAGTTTTTCATAACTTTTTCAATCAATTTGTTGAATATGACTTTCTATAATTTTTTCTGTTTAATTAGTGCAATTATTATTATCATTATTATTAGCATAACTACGTCAGTGCTCTGTCTACATAATAAGCAAATGAACTAGGGACATCTTGAGTCAATCAGCTAAAAAAAACATCCCCAAAATTAACCTAACCCTGTAACTTAAAAGAATAATTTTTTTTTTTTCAGACAACATTAATTACATAACTAATGTTTTAAGAAGAACTTTTGCCAAGATAGTTGTTGCTTACAGTCCCCAGGGACCCCAGTCAGTAGAATGAGGGTTAAAGTGATACTCCACCCAAAGAGATATGCAGACATTTCCCTTCGGTAACATTTAAGGAGGCTTTCTCGAGCTTGAAACGCACAAGACAGCCAATCTTGGCCTCTGTTGCTTCCCTTTTGCCTGTTCTTTAGTGAGTCTGTGAATCTGCGTTATGTAAATTTAATATTAAGTTTCCTGAGTGCCCCTTTAATATTAGATCTTAGAATAAATCTAATTTTCATTTTATACATATGATAAAACAATCATATTCTGGGTGTTTTAATGCACCTCATGTGTTAGTCTGAATGTTTGCTTTACTCACACTGTTCATTCAATTAATCATTCATTCATTTATTTTTGCACCAGGGACCAGGAAAAAGAATTTACAGGTGCATCTCAATAAATCAGAATATCATGACAAAGTTCATTT